TGTTCATGTTACTGCATCTAGAAGTGACTGGCCCTGATGCCTTCTGCCTTGAGTGGACACCCTCTGAGGATGATTCTCTGATCCAATCTCTAAAGCTAAATCTTCAAGCTTGTGGTCGGTGGAGTTCTGTATTAATGGTTTAGCGAGGAGGACCAATCGAGTAAGGACGGACCGTGCCTCCTACACTGCATGGATCCGCCACTTCTTCAGAGATCTTTAGCCTCTAGCTAGAAATGTTGACCCTGATCCTCCAGAGTATGAGGTCGGCCTAATGTATGGCTCTAGGCTCTATTTTTTGGGATTTCTGGCTTGCTTCATCTCATTCTTCATTCTTTTGAGTACACCTCCAGATTCTCTCAACCCTTTTGTCTTTCTCTTGGCAGTTAGGCTCTTCAAAGGGGGTTAGATTCCTTTGGTTCCTTTATTTCTTGGGAATCTTTATTACCGGCTGGATCTACTACATCAAGACATGGTTCGTTCTGTGGGTCGATATGAGCCTGTCTCCTTCATTCAGAGCCAGTTCATGTTTTGTTTTTTCTTCAAGAGGTTCCCAAAGTTTGCCCCTACTCTGACTGTATTCGAAGCAGAGGTTCTTCAGCAGATAGTGGATAAAGATGATATCCTCGTGCTTGGTACTGACGGGTCTCGCACATTTGAGAAAGCGAAGTCTTGCCAGCCATTGATCACACGTTGGTCATGTGTCATTTCCACCTTATCCTTGAATACTTTAATGGATGATCCCCGACGCTTTGTGGCATGCACCTATGTATGCCCACCGGTGGGTGTGGTAACACCACTTATCTATCATGGTTCCTCCCACCTATTGTTCTTTCCCTTACCAAAGGGTATCTCTACATACCTTGTTGATATGCTGACAATGGTTCGTCCGAGTTCATTATCGGTATGGCATGAGGAGGGCGTTGATAGCACCGTCTACAGACCTAACAGAGTAGCATGCCAATTTGAGTTTGACCAGTGTGCCCCGGGGCCAGCACCTCCTTTATTTTCTTTTTCATAGAGCTACGGGCACTTTACTCGCGGACTCGTGCACACCATGCTTCCTATATCCGACTCTTTGACGATGCCAGGCTTGGGCCGAGTAGGGGGTTTCACCTCCTCTTTTAGGAGATATTGGCGAAAGAATATTGATGCATTTATTGAGTTAGTCCAGAGCAGACCGACCATATGTTTGCCTCCGCCAATTTATGAGAAGGACTCTTCTTTTCAGCTGCTTGAGAGCCGAAAATCTGATCATATGTATGAGAGTTTCTTCACTTCATCTGCTCTGAATGACCCTCCGGCTCGGGCGTCTGCTTCTAGCTTGGCAGTTGTTTCTCCAGAGCCAGTCCCTTTGAATAAGGCCTTTGATCCTCGGACGACCTGCCTTAAGAAGATGGCCCACAAGAGGGCTTCTGATGCCAGTCCTTTCACTCCTCGCCTTTCCAAAAGGCTCCATCAGGCACTAGATAGACATCTTAAAATTTTTAAAAAATTTGATTTGAAGTTACTTTCCTTCTTGCGACTACACCTTCTTAGATGAACACTTTTTATTTTTCCTATTATGTAAGATCCTATTCCGTCTTTTGACCCTGCGGTTGCTGACGCTCTCAGTACCGTCGCTATTGGCCATGCTGCGCTTACTAGGCCGGACTCAGACTTGGATGATACTATCCCTTTGTCTGCAAGACTCGTGAAAATGCGCACCCCTCGTACAACAGTTATAGATGATGATGATGATGATGAAGCTGAGTCCTCCGATCATTTTTGTGACCTTGTCCCATGTATGCGTCATCACCGTCCTATCGTGACTGAGGATGCCTCTCCCTTGGTCAGATGTTTCCCTCATCGCTCAATTTCAAAGGAGGAGTACTATCTTGGTGACAAGGCTATCGGGCTCACTGTTCTGATGTTGAGATTATTGAGAATCGTGGCTCTGATGTTGAGATTATTGAAGGTACTGGTGCCACAGAAATTGATGTCGTAGACCATGCTTCTGGAAGCAATGTAGAGATGAGGTGCGCCTCTGGGAATAGTGTGGAGGTGGATGTGCTAGAAGTCTCTGAGACTCGCTGTGGCACTTATAATGATTCTCATCCTCCGGGTTTCCTTCCTTCTTCAGGGATGACTGCTACTATTCTGGCTTCATTAGATGTTGAGATCGATCAGGTGCCCCTTGTACGGCCAAGTGACTTTGTTGATGCTAGGAGCCCTTCAGTTGTCCCGGCTTTGCATAATTATTCTCCCTCAGGTAATCTTTATTTCTGAAGTTTGTCATGTACTTCTATCTGTGAGAATTTTTTTTTTACTCAAATGGCTTTACTGTTTCCTGCCCCTAATAAGACTTCTTTATCTTTTCTTCAGTGTTGGCCGTTACCGGTGTCTTTCCTTCACCTGCCTCGGACTCTGCTCCGACTCTCTTTGTGACTCCTCATGGTTCTCCTTCTCAAGGGGAGACACCTGCCTTTGAGACGACTGCTACAAGCTCTTCATCGCAAGTGCCTTTGAATGTTTTGGATATGAATCTCAGTGATTTCCACTTTAATAGTGATACTTTTGGCCTTTCCCCTTATCGATCCGCATTTTCAGGCTCGGGACCTCTGCCGGAAGTTACCCCTCCGGGTGGTTCATCTAACCCGATAGACATTGGGGAGATTCCTGAGACTAGTACCTTTCTAACTGCAATTCCTCCTTCGGCTTCTGGCAAAGTATCATTTCTCCATTATTGGGTAGCTCCTGAGTTTGCTTCAGTTCTATAGCTTGTGCATTCGAGTTACCCTGAGACCTTTGTTTCATTTGCTTGCCAATGTCCACTCATTCAGACTGCTCTTCTCGAGTCTTTTGCAACTATCCTATATAGCTTGGACAAGCAACGACTGTGTGACCTTAACAGGAAAGTAGTCGAGACAGCGTATCAGGGGATCTCTGACATGGAGCGTCACCAAGTGGATTTATCATGGCTTCGGAAACGCCTAGATATAGCTTCAAACCCCAGTCGTCAGGTGGAAGTTTTGTCTGTGCTTGCATCTTATCGGACCTCTATAGATGAGACAAAGGCAACTCTTCGTGAACTTGAATCGGGCTATGCTCGGGCCTTGAAGACTTTAGAGGCACACTCTGCTATTTGTTCTCAGGATGTAGATGTGACGGGCAACTTTTTTGAGGGTGTTTTTAGAAGAGATTGAGTTTTTTTTTTTGTATTACTTTCTTGCCCCTTTCGATAAAATTTTTTATTTTGGACAATGCAATGAAATGACAAAATCTTTGATGTTTGGAGATTTTTGCATTGTTTTCTCATTCTACTTGATAAAATATTTATTTCGAATGATACAATGGAAAGAACAATCATATGCACATGTTTATAAAAGCTGAAATATTCTTATTAATTCTTCAACTTTCTTGACAAAAGTATAATATATTCACTGCAAGTGATAGGATAAACATACACCATAAAGAAAACCAACTTCTTCATAACGTAAGGGAAATACAACTTTTAGACAAAGTAAGAAAATGAAAATGAATTTCAACATAGATGAGCCTATCTACGGGTAGTAATTCTTGATAAACTTTGCATTGAGCGGGCCAGTTTGGAAGCCATCTTCAACCCTTACAAGCTTGTAGTACCCGCTTGAGCTTGTTTGAACCACCTTGTAGGGCCCTTTCCATTTTGGAGAAAACTTGGGCAATGGTTGTCCTCGCATGATTGGGTCTACAATCTTCCATACTAGATCACCTTCTTCAAACTTTCTTGGCACCACAATCTGATTATAGGCTCGGGCGATGGACTCATGATACCTTTCCATGACTTTTGCAGCTCTGTCATGCTTTGCCTTTAATGTTTCCAATCTGGTGGTTCGAGGCTCCAGTACCATCCCCGAGGCGAGAGCCATCTGAGTAGGTGGTGTTTTCAACTCTGTAGGTAACACTGCCTCGGACCCATACAGAAGGGAGTAAGGAGTTGCTTGAGTTGGCTTTCTCTTTGAAGTGCGATATGCCCATAGGGCTACTATCAACTGTTCGGACCAAGTCCCACCAAATTCATCCATCATCTTGCTCAGAATCCTTATCAGTGTCTTGTTTGTGGCCTTCACTTGCCCGTTCCCTTTTGGATAGTAGGGTGTGGATTTGTGATGCTTCACTTGGTAAGTTTCTAGGAGCCTCTTCACATATTTGTTTAAGAAGGGTGTGCCGTTGTCCGAGAGGATGGTGTTCGGCACTCCGAACCAGCAAATGATATTTTCCTTGATGAAGTTCGCGACTGCGAGCCTCGTAGCGTTCTTCAAAGGGATTGCTTCGACCTACTTTGTGCTTAATTCCGTAGCTGAGAGAATCCACTTGTACCATTTGGAAAATGTGGAGATGGGCCCTATTAGATCAAAAGCCCAGGTATGGAACGACTATGGCGTTCGGATGCTATGCAGGTCTATGGCTGGAGCATGGATCAAATTTTTGTGTTTCTGACAAGTCTGGCACTTTTTCACGTGATGGGATGCATCTGACTCCATGATCGGCCAATAATACCCAAGGTGTATAAGTTGCTCGAACAACAGAGCCCCTTATTGATGCTCAATTTCGTGGGCTCTTTCGAGGACTAGATCCGACTTCTCCTTGGAGAGACACCTCAGGGGAGTGCCCTTAATGCTTCTTCTGTAAAGCTTGTTCTGATCAAAAAAGTACCGCCTCGCTCTCCTCTTGAGGTGTGTAATGTCCCTCGGGCTCTCAGGTAGTGTCCCCTCCTTGAGATAGTCAATGTAGACTTGTCTCCAGTCAGGGGTATCAATTTCAAAGCAACTCTCATCCTCCCGGATGTATGACTGACACTTAGGGCATTCTTTCTGAAGTTGATTCGAGACCTTCTCCATCTCGGGCCAATAATAGCCTTGTCTTTGGATTCTTCTGTACAAACTAATATCCACATCCTCGCAGGACTTGTCATGAATCTGTTGTAGTCGGAAGCTTGCCTCTTGTTGGCCAACACACCGGGTTAGGAATTCGGTACCTCATCAAAAGTAAATTTCACCTTGAATAATTATGAATTGGGCAAGCTTGGCCATAGTCAGCTTTCCAACTTTGCTTCTGAGTTGTTCGAGGATTTCTTCTCTCCAGTCCTCTGGAAGGTCTTTGTCCTCGGGTATTATTAAAGGCTCTGTTCTCTTCTTGATAACAATTGTCGCCTCCTCCTCTGGAATGTCAACTCTTGCCCCTAATGTTGTGAGGGCATCTAAAAACTTGTTGTCGGAGCGAGGCACATGCTCTATTTCGACCTCCTAAAATTTGTCAAGAAGCCTTTGGACTGTTGTTCGATATGTGGCCAATGCAGGCTTCTTTAAGACGAACTGTCTTGAAACTTGCTTCACTATCAACTTTGAGTAGGGGTGGGCGCGGGTCGGTTGCGGTCACGGAACCTCTAGTCCATCATCCATCCACCAGATTGGTGGATTGGAGAAAATCAATCTGCATCCGTCCGCCAATCCAGCGGATGTGGATTGAGCGGATTGGTGGATGGATGCGAATCGGTTTGGCAGTTTAAAGTTTTATAAATTTTCAACATAATTCAACTCGTGCACTTCCTTAAAAAAAAAAGTATTACTGTCAATGACTTAAAAAAGTATTACAATCACTGCACGCCTCATCCAAAGAAAGAAAGTTTGAAACTTTAGAATTTACAATCACTGCATACCTCATCCACATATTACAATCACAGCATGCCTCATCTACATAAAGTATTACAATCTGTGGTTCTTAAAATATAAAAGTAATTCAAACCACCTAAATTCTGAACAGAGCAGTAGTAGAGATTGTATGCATTTGTTTCGTTACATCTATATCTATTTTTCAAAACAAAAACCAACCAACATATATCAACTTTTTTATTTATTATTTTTAGAGTTAGATTTAAAAACAAAAAAATATAAATAAATAACACATTTATTTTTTTCAATTCTAAAAATATATTTAAGTTGAAAACTCTTTTTCAACAGAATATATTCAACATAATATTTAAACTCTTTTTCAATTGAAAACACAAATAGAATATTTAAACAAATTGAAAACATAAAATCTTACAAATTACTAAGGTTGCTCGCGATTTGGCTGTTCAGTTGCGGCCAAAGGAACCTTAAATCCGTCATCCGTACAAAACTAGGCGGATTGAAAAAAATCAATCCGCAACCCTCCGCTCGTCATCACGCATCCATCCAAAATGCAGCGGATCGGTTCGGTTCGGTCAGTTTGGGCGGATCGGTATATCCGCTGCTCACCTCTAGCTTTGAATCCCCCTGAATCTGAATCTTCTTGATACTGTGTTTCTCAGCTGCTATCAAGCCTAAAATAAGAGCCTCATACTCGGCTTCATTATTCAAACACTGGAAATCCAATTTATAAGACAAATATAACTTTTCCCCACTTTCGCTTATAAGGACTATCCCGGTTCCTGCTTTCCCTCCGGCTGTTGCTCCGTCAAAGCTCAATGTCCAAAAGCTTTCCTCGGAAGCCATAGCTGCATGCACTTCTCCTTTTAATTCTTCATTCACTAGTTCATAGTCACCACTTGGAAATTGGGCAAGGAGATCGGCTAAGGCTTAGTTTTTGATTGCCTTGGGAGCTACACATGTGATCTCAAATTCACCTAGTGCTAACAACCATCTTGCCACCTTCCCGGTTAGAGCAGACTTGTTGAGGAGGTATCAGATTGGATCACTTTTAGTAACAATCTGAATCTGATATGCTATGAAGTAATGTCTGAGCTTTTGGGTGGTGAATACCAAAGCTAAACAATGTCTCTCTACCGGAGTATATCGGACTTCTGCTCCTCGAATCTTCTGGCTGATGTAATACACCGGGCGTTCTACTCCATCTATATCTTGGACCAATTATGCCCTATGGACTTGGGGGTTGAGGTTAGGTACAACATTAGAGGCACCCCAGGTTGTAGGGCTATCATGGTCTGAGGCGAGGTCAAGGCCGTCTTGCTCTGATAGATTTGACCTTGTCTTTATCTGTCTCGATACCATGCCTATGTACAAGAAACCCGAGGAACTTCCCGGCCGTCACCCCGAAAGCACATTCGAGAGGATTCATCCTCATTTTGAATTTCTGGCACCTCTTGAATACTTTCTTAAGGTCTCGAAGATGGTTCTCTTCTTTTTTGGATTTCACCACTAGATCATCAACATAATCTTCCACCTCATGATGGATCATGTCATGAAAGATTGCAGTCATAGCCCTTTGGTAAGTTGCTCTGGCATTCTTGAGTCCAAAAGGCATGACTGTATAGAAGAAGTTTCCAAGAGGTGTTCTAAAAGCAGTATTTTTTGCGTCCTTTTCAGCCATTTTAATCTGATTGTATCCGCTAAATCCGTCCATGAATGAGAACATCTGGTGTCCTGAGGTGGCATCCACGAGGGTGTCAATGTGAAGTAGAGGGAATTCATTCTTCAGGCAAGATTTGTTCAAATCTCGAAAGTCTACACATACTCTATTTTGACCATTCTTCTTCTTTACTAGCACTATGATTGCCAACCATGTGGGGTATTGTATTGGCCAAATGAAACCTGCCTGTTGAAGTTTTTCAATCTTCTCCTTAATCTTCTCTTCGAGATCTGGATGATATTTTCGAGCAGCTTGCTTGATTGGCTTGGAGTTTGGGAACACATCAAGATAATAGGAGACTAGGTTAGGATCTAGTCCAGGCATTTCTTTATATGACCAAGCAAACACATCTGAGTATCGGCTTATCAATTTTAACAACTGTTCTCGCTTCTCTAGGCTAAGGCTCGAACTTATGAATATCGTCCTTGGTGCATCTTGTCCATCACTCAGATCTATTTCAATAAGTTGTTCAAGCTAAGGCTTCGGGCCATCTTGCATGCATTCTGGAGCCACTTCAGGCTTTATTACTATGTCATTGTCAGGAGACTCTTCTTTTAACTCGGAGTCGGTGGCTGAAGAAACCGACTCCCCGCACCTTCACAAATAGTACACCATCTAGACCCATTCTCGGACTTTCATCACCTTCCGAGGAATAGGCGGACTTTCTGGTCGAGACATCGCTCGTTTACTTGATTCTGCCCTTGGCTCCTTGTCGTCTTTGATATCCTCCCAACGAAGAATTTTGACCCCCCGAGGCTTAGAGGTGGTGGGAATTTCTTCGACAACCAATTTGGTGAAGTAGATGGCATCAGAATAATGAACTTTATGGGTCTCGAAAGGCCTTTCTGTAGCCCGAATTGTCACCATCTTCTTTTCTCATTTAGCCTTAACACACTGATGATAACTTGATGATACAGCCCCATATCTATGCATCCAAGTCCTCCCTAGAATGATGTGATAATTTGCCTTGGAATCGATAATATGGAACTTGGTGGCTAAGCGAATCTCTTCGATGGCTAAATCAACTGTTACGAATCCTATAGTAACTCTCCTTTCTCCACCGAAGCCAGTGATGACTATCGGCTGCTTCACAATGCGTTCTTCGGATATTCTGGCCTTTTCTAGAGTAGCGCGAGTCATAATGTTGATAGAGGCTCCACTATCTAGAAAGGCCCTTTTGAACTCAACCCCGTTAATAAAAGCAGTCACATAAAGCGGGCGGTTGTGAGACAATGAATGCTTTCAATCAGTCTCAGAGAAAGTAATGGCACTAGATTACTCTTTTGCCTTCCTCGGGATAGATCCCTTAGTTGACATGCATTCCTCATGGTGTGCATCGGCTATATTGATGATAGACTTGGTGATTTCTATTCTTGCCTCCCTGGAAAGTCTAAGCTGGTCGAAGAATGCTTGAACTTTACACAGTCTTGCAAGGTTTTGGCATAATGATCCGGATCTTTTTCCACTCTTGGAGGCTCGTAGTTAACCATCTCCTCGGTCTTTTCAAAATAAGATGCCACATAAACATGGTGTCCTCCTCTTCCGTAGTACTCTTCTCCTCCTTCTGGATCAAAGGGATCTTTGACATGAGTCATAAAGGTTCTACCTTCTGGATCGAGAGCACTTCTATAGTAAACTTGCTCACCCTCGAGCTCGAAGATGTCGTCCAGATAACAATCATCGTCATTGAGATTGGCGATAGCCTCAATCATCAGGCCTTCATAAGCTATCATAGCAACATTCTTGCTCTTGTCTCGGTGCTGAGGATATGGTTGTTCTCGGATGTCTTGAGTCCCTTGCTTTTTGAACCTCAATTCATCTACCTCGACTTTATCTCTGAAGATTTTCCTGAGAGTCCAACACTTCTCTGTTGGATGTTTTAATGTGTGATGATAGATGCAAAATTCAGGGCTCTCGCGATCTTTTTTTGATGGCATTTCTTCGACATAAGGCAATTTAAGCTCTCTCTCGGCCACCCATTCCTTAACTAGAGCTTTTACCACCTCGATTCCATATGGATAAGAAATATTCCCATTCTCACCATTATATTGCTTCCTCTTCTGGCCTCTATGACCCCCTCCTTGTGACTTTCGGGTATTTGGGGTAGAGGTAGCAGCAACAATAGGTTTACGAGATGATTTGAAGCTAGTCTTGTAACTGGCCTTAAATCCGGACTCCTGAGCCTGAGGAGTGCTAATGTTCCGAGCTGCTTCTATTAGTGCTGAGAAGGTGCGTAGCTTGTGATTAACTAGAAACATTTTGTACCTGCTCAATGCCCTTTCTAGACAAATTTGAACCAGATAACTCTCCTCCACTGCTTCATGGCAATCCACAACCTTGTCCTGAAACCTTTTGACAGAGTCAAGGATGTCTTCACTTTCTCATTGCTTTTCTTTACACAATGTAAGTGTGGTCACCTTCTCCGCCACTTGAAAGAACTTGGAGTGGAATTTGTTAACCATTTCCTCCCAACTTCGGACAGAGTTTGGGGCCAAATTAACATGCCAAGTATATGCTCGGTCAGTGAGGGACTTAGAGAATTCTCTCAGCCGGAGGACGTTGTTTGAACCATAAATACCGAGAGTCTCGATGAATCGCACAACATATTCTCGAGCATTTCCTTGTTTGCCATCGAATTTGATGAACTTCGGCACTGTATACCCCTCAGGGTATGGATAGCTCAGCATCTCAATAGGGTAAGGCGGCTTGACGTCTGGATCAGGCAAAGAGGGTAAGGTCCTCTTGCCCCGTTCGAGATCGAACATGGCCTGCACATCGGCGAGAGTGAGAAACTGTTGAGGGAGAGAGTTTGATGGTGGTATTCCCAGGACTTGGCCTGTGGACCCGAAGACTGAGCTAGGGGCGACTTGGCCATTCTGGTGCTGCGAATTCATCATTGGTGAGGACATTTGACGATACTGGCCATCAGCGCCTATAGACAAGCCAGTTGGTGATGGGATATTGAATTGAGGCCCATAGAGTCCACCGCACAGCGCCGCTATACCGGGTTGTGCTTACAGATTTGTTGTCGGCACCAAAGGAGGCCCGCTTGGTGCTTGGGTAACATTCACTGGCGGCGTAACAAGATTAGGTACGGGCATAGCTCCCTTTTGCGCCATCATGCTCCTTATGTTTTCCTGGACACCAGCAGTCGTTGGAGTGCCGTTCATTACACCAGAAACTCCCCTAGTCACCATTGGATCTTGGCTCGGCACGCCATGGAGCCCGGGCATGGGCAAACTGCTGCCGCCTACTGTGGTTTGAGCATGTGTTACTGTGGCCGTGTTGCCATGAGCCATAGGCTGATTGGGGCCTACTTCTCCTTGGATTTGATTTTTCACTTCGGCGGGGGATAACTCCACCGCCAGTTTGATTTCCGTTTGGCATCGGTGCAAAATTAGAACTCATCACCAATATGGTGTGAGTGAGATTCTGAAGAGTGGTAAGAATCTCCTGCTTAGTATTTTGAAGGCCTTGAATGGCTTCAAGCAAAAGTGGTTAATTTGGAGCCATGGTCCTATCATCACCACCATTAGAGGATTCTTGTGGGTGAACTTCATCTTCTCCTGCCATCCCTGTTAGAGTTGTGTGGGTTCCAGATCTTCGTTGAGACCATTAACCAATCCGCCTCCCCAGCAGGGTTGCCAAATGTATGAGAGGGTTCAATAACGTCGTTGGAAAATTCGAAGATCTTCGAAGATCCTTGAAGAAAAATTCGAATTCTCTAGAAGATGATGAGAGGCTTAGATTCTTTAATAGTCTCAACTAAGAACACAAGAGCAAAGAGATGATGGAGATAAGAGATTGGGTGAAGAAGAAGGCAAAGTAGTTAGAGAGAGGATAATGGCAAGGCTCTCCCATGGATCTCCCACTTTCACTGTCAAGGTTGATAATGGAGATGGGAAATTAGTTCTTTCCCAAGAGTCGTCTCTCCAAAATCCATCCCTTGTAAAGCTATGGGTGGGTGCTATTTATAGACACCTCATGATGTAGGATGGAGCCCATGTGTAAGGCACATGGAGAATATTCTCTCTAACCATTTTGTTCGAGGAGGTGACCTCTCCGAGGATGAGAAAAAAAAAAAACCCTCGAAGAGGAGATCAACGTCTTGGCGAACCCTTCTTCTTAGCCACACCTAACCAATGATCCCCAATCATCCCAAAGGGCCAAGGTAGTCCTAGAGGACCTCCTGCCGTTAAATATTGCCGAGTTTCATGGACCCCCCGGGGTCGTGCCACCTCGACCTGGGTATAGGTTAGTTTAACTAAAGAGTGAATTTATCTTCACTCACCGTCCTCGGGATCGGGTTCTTTGTTCGAACTCTATTACGCCTATGGTTCTGGTGCGTAGATCCTGAAAAGCTCCGAACCCGCAAGTATTCTGGGACTCACTAATGGAGCGGTTTCTAGATTGCGATCGAATCTGTTCGAAGCTCAAGTGCCTCGGATCTCTAGGCTTGCTCAATACCCTTTCGAGTTCAGGCCCGAGTAAATCTCTAAGTTCGTGGATCCGAACCCTTTCGGGGCTTAGAGCAATTCGGCCCATTTGATAGCAATTAATCCGGGCCTACCAACGTTGGGTTGTTAGGCCTTATTAATTTAATGGGCTCAAATTAGCTCCTTTTACACCAGTCAACCACCTCCTTCTTCACTGCTTTAGATCTTGGAAAATAGAAATACGTTATCCACCATGAAAATTTATTTTGAATTTTATCCTAAAAAATAAGTTGTATAATTTAGATTTAAAATTACTAAAATATGGGCCATATCTTAAATAATTAACAGTTTTTAATAATGTTAAAAATTTATTTCAATTAATAATTCTGATAATTTTATTATTGTATAGGCGTATAGTTAGAAATTTTACTTTTTCAATTACTTCTATTAAATAAAAAATTCTGACCACGAGGTATTTATAATTTTTCAAACCACAGAAAATAATTCGTATTTTAAGTAAACCTCATAGTGTGTATTTGTAATTTACCGTAAATATTATTATTCTCGCATTTCTAGTTATAAAATTAAATCAAGGGTTCAGTTGAGGTTAAATTACTTTTTCTATATATATTTTTATATATAGATAAATATTTTTTAGTACATATGATTAAATAAGCATTTCTTTTTTCTCTGTTTTTTTTTTATTATTTAGATTTCAATTTTTAAATAACGTTGAAAAATGACTGAGACCCCCAGCTGGGGGTGCTGGGGGTCAGCTCCCATTGGACAAAAAAAATTGGTTTTTTTTTTTTTTTTTGCGACACGTCACTGGGGGTCGTCAGTGGGGGTCACCCCATTGGGGGTTTGTAGCATGGCCCAATAACGTTAACAAACAACTACTTTCAGCCCACTAATAAAAACCGGTTTGTTTGGGGTCTTGCATTAAATGCTGGACTTAGGATTTACTCTCTCTTTTTTTCACTAAAGAAATGTTTATTAATATAAAAACAGTATATGTAGTACAACAAAAGACATCAATACGAGAGGACTACTGTTTGACACAGTATCATTGTTTTGAGAACATATCTTTATTTTTTTTCACTCTTATAAACATAAAATTCTAAACCGGTGGATAGCCCAATATTAAAAAAAGAAAAGAAGAAAAGGAGAGTATTTGCGACGGCAGATATTACTGTCGTAAAAAAAGATAGAGTTTTTGTGACGGCACCAGCTGCAGTCGCAAAAAAAAAAAAAAAAGTTTTTTGCGACTGTAATAGGTATCGTTGCAAAAAAAAAAAGTATATATATATATTGTGGCTTTGAGACGACTTCATATATATATATATAGTCACAAAATGGTTTAAATAAATGCAGCGATATTTTTTTGTCACTAAAAAAAAAAAAAAAAAGACGTCTTTTTCCTCTCTTCTCTCACTCATCACTCTTCTCTGTCTATCTGTCTCTCTCGCTTTCTCTCTCTCTCTCTCTCTTTTTTTTTTCTTTGTGTCTCTCGCCCATCTCTCTTCTCTCTATCTCTTTTTGTCTCTCTTCTCTTTATCTCTCTCGCTCTCTCGCTCATCTCTCTTTGTTTCTTTCTCGTTTATCTTTTTTCGCTATTTTCTCTCTCTTTCTTTGTCTATCTCTTTTCACCCATTTTTTCATCTTCCTCTCTCTCTTCTTTTTCTCTCTCTCACTCATCACTCTTTTCTCTTCTCTCTCTGTTTGTCGGTCTATCTGTCTCTTTCTCACTCTCTTTTTGTGTTTCTCACTCATCTATCTCTTATCTCATCTCTTTTCTCTCTCTGTCTCTTTCGCTCATGTCTCTTCTTTCTATCTCTCTCGCCCACCCCTCTTCTCACTATCTCTCTCATCTCTCTCTGTCTCTCTCGCTTATCTCTCTGTTTCTCTATCTCTCTCTCTGTCTCTCTTGTTCATCTCTCTTCTCTCTCTGTCTCTTTTTCTGTCTTTCACTCTCTATCTCTTTCTCTTTTTGTCTTTCTCTTACTCTCTTCTCTTTCTCTCTCTTACTCATCACTCTTCTTCGTTTGTCTGTCTTTATCTCTGTCCCTGTCTCTCTCTCTTTGTCTCTCGATCATCTCTCTTCTCTCTATCTCTCTCATCTCTCTTCTTTCTCTATCTCTCTCGCTCATCTCTTTTCTCTCTATCTCTCTTTCTGTCTCTCTCGCTCATCTTTCTTCTCTCTCTCTCTATGTCTTTCTCTCAATCATCTCTTTTCGCTCTATTTCTCTTTTTTTCTCTCTTTGTCTCTCTCTCTCTCTATATATCTCTTTATCTCTCTATCTCTCTCTTACTCATCATTCTTCTCTCTCTTTGTGTCTGTCTATCTGTCTGTCTCTCTCCTCCATTGTGTTCACCTTGCTCACTTTTTCCCTCCCCTCTTCTCTATTTATCGAGCTCTCCACTACAAGAAAATGCACTTTTAGCGACCACTTTGTCTCTCTCTCACTCATCACTCTGTCTTTGTCTCTGTCTCTCTCTATCTCTCTTCTCTATCTGTTTCTCACTCATCTCTCTCTCACCACCCATCTCCTCTACTACCTTCACCACTACTGCAAATGTCGTTCCACTACTACCATTATTACCACTGTTGCCACTCCACCTCTACGACTACCATTACTACCACCATCGCTACCACTTCACTACCATTACCACCACTGCTACTATCTCTCTTGCTCATCTTTCTTCTCTCTCTATCTCTCTCTATGTCTCTTGTTTATCTCTTTTTGTTGTGTCTCTCTCTCTTTTTCTCTTTGTCTATCTCTCGCTCATCTTGTTTCTCTCTCTGTGTCTCTCTTTCACTCATCTCTCTTCTCTCTCAATCGTTCATTTCTCTCAATCACACTCATCTCTTTCTCTGAGCCCATTGTTGTTGAAAGAGGAAAAAGTCAAAAAATGAAGTGGGTCTCTCTCTGTCTCTTTCTTTCTGTGTCTCTCGCTCATTTCTCTTCTTTATCTCTCTCATCTCTCTTCTTTTTTTATGTCTCTCTATATATATCTCTCTCGTTCATCTCTTTTTTTTCTTTTTCTCTCTCTCTCTCTCTCGCTAATCATCTCTTATTTCTGTTTCTCTCTCTTCTTAGCTTTTATTGTGCAGCAAAATGGACAAGGAGGTTTTTGGCAAAAAAAATGAGTTTTTTTTTTTTTGTTACGGCAACCTTCCCCCGACGCAAATACAGGTTATCGGCAACGGCAATACCCTTGTCGCAAATAAAAAAAATTATTAAACGAGCCATGAATTCATTGTTTAGGGTTTGTTTAGTAACCATTTCATTTTTAGTTTTCAGTTTATATTTACAAAAATTTACAAAACTATCATAACAGCTTGTTTGATAATTTTTTTGGTTTATAAATGGTCGTCTCAGTTTATAAATTTGAGAAAAAATTGTAAACTCAAAAAATGAGTTTACGTTGGTTTTTAAATAGAAATTTGAAAATTTGACTAAAAATTTTTTTTTAATTAATTTTTTTTTCAAATAATTTTTTTTCAAATATATTTTTTTTCAAATAATTTTTTTAATTAATTTTTTTTCAATTATTTTTTTTCCAATCAATTTTTTTTTTCAATTATAATGTTTATGATCCCATTGTCATAAATAATAATAATAAATAAATATAAATATTTTAAGCCTAGACAAACATGTTTTTTTGCTTATGTTTTAATTTTTTTTAAAAAAATATTTTGTTCAAACCAAACGCATGTGTAATTTATGTTTTTCTAAAAATAAACAAAAACTAATTTATAAAAATTTTATAAACATAAACTAAAAAGGTAAACGTTATCAAACGCTACCTCAAATTTTCATTTGTGACCACGAAAACCAAGGCGCCAAAATGAAAATTAATAAGCGCCAAATAAGAAGATAAGAAATTTTCAACACCTAAAGAAGTTAAAATATTAGAATAGGAAAACCCTCTCTCTTTCTCTCAATCGCCAATCTTTGCACCAGTTTCTAGGGTTCCAATCTCCACACTCATACTTGCGCACACACAAATGGAGCATCAGTTTTCACAGATTAGACACGGCCTTTAATCGATCTCAGCCTTGGCTTGGAATATAAAGAGAGAAAGTATGGTGGAGGATGGATCGGAGAGAGAGAACGGGAGGCTATCGACAATGGATTCAATTGAATCTCAATCGGTATTTCAGGACGAGGACAAGTAGAGATCGAGGATGAGGAGGATGATGAAGATTTGACACCTCGAATAGGCATGGATTCGGACGACGATGATAATTCCGAGCAAAGATTCATTCGGCAGGCACTCGGATCGATTCCTTCGATGCCAAAGCACTTGAGGTCTCCGAAGCACAACGGAACGACTTTGAGGTACAAATTTTTCTTTATTAGCAAATTTTTTCTGATACTTCACTAACGTTCATAGCACGTTATGGTAGGATTGTTGATTGCACATCTACTAATTAAATGTCTGGTTGGGCCCCATAGTTACCGTGCAAAACTGTCTAATTTTTTCTTTGAACTTCATTGTCTGTTTATCATGTTTAGCAGATATGCATGCACCATTTCAAATATGTAATTACTATTCGAGTTGGGTTTCAATTTTCACTCTTTTTATTAATTCTTGAAAATCTTAGTCCCAAAGGAATAGCTTGACATTAATAGCTAAAGTGAAATTTTGATTATTCTTTCCATTCAATTTTTCCCAGAAAATAGTGATCAAGATTATCAACTTCTCTCTGCTACCTTGTTTTGAATTTATAGTCTTGTATTTGATTCTACAGAAATGGATTTGAAGATTGGTGGAGGAGATAGTAACACACAAGAGGGGGAGTTGGGGTTGAAGGAAAAGGATGTGGGAAGTATTAGTAGTAAAGATATGTTTTTCAGAGCAGATAAGATTGATTTCCAGAGTTGGGATTTACAATTGGAGAAACACTTGAGTTGGGTCTGGTCGACGGATAGGGAAGTTCATTCAAAGAGAGAAGAGTGGTAAATTGATTTAGCTAAATTGGATATAAGAAATGTCATAGCTCATGGGACATATGGTACCGTGTACCGGGGGACTTATGATGGCCAGGATGTTACAAGTGATTCAACAATTACCTATGCTTCATTCTGTTTAGTCAATCTGGAATTAATTTCATTCTCATCAGATTAAAAGGTGTGTTAAATTCACAATCTATACTCTAGCTACTTAATGCTTTCAATTTTGAAGAGGTTGTGATATGCTTATTTTCGTCGTAATTTCTTGATTTAGTCTACTTTTTGGTTTCTTTCTTTTTAGTAGGATCATTGAATTGATAATTTCATTCTCTATGATTGCAATTTTTATTTGGTTTTTTCCCCCCTGCTTTTCTTCAATGATTTCCATGTGAAAACATTATTTTGTAATGGGTCAAATGATGCTTGATTTTTGTTTTTTGTTTGCTGTATATTTTTTTCTTTTTTGAATAGCAATCAAAATGGAACAGAATAAGAAATTGCACTACTTACACTCGGTTCCTGTTTCGATAAATGGATTTCAAATGAAGCATTTGAGGTTATTAAACTTTATAAAAATCAATGAGAGATTGACCAACTAAATGGAAGATAGAATAGAACAAGAAGACAAATATTTTGCCATTATAATCATTAGCATGAAGGATTTCAAATAACTAATTTCATATTGTCATTTCAAATCCATCATAATAAAGCTCTCAAATTCAATCTTGAAATCCATATCTAAGTTCAAGTTACTATTATTTTTAGTTACACCATATTGAATATGTCTAATGATCAGTTTCACATCATCTTTAGGTAGATGTATCTATAACATATGTTTATACTTATGTTCATGCTTGTTAGGTATATATAATCTATTGTAATTTTTTTTATATGTATGTAATCTGTTGTAAATACCAATGTACTGTTGATTATCAACATGTTTAATTCTTTCAGATTTAACCTTGAAATTGCATTTATCTAGTTAATATCACACATTTTTGTTTATATCAATATTCTCACAACTATATCTTTCATAATACAATAGTGAAGGTATTGGATTAGGGTGAGGATGGTATTGCCACAGCTGCTGAAACTGTTGCTCTTCGGGTATCGTTTCGGCAAGAGGTGGCTGTTTGGCATAAACGTGACCATCCAAATGTTACAAAGGTAAAGCTTTTTCTTTTTTCTTCATCTTCTCTTCCTCCTCATCTTTTTGTAACATACATGCGAAGCCTGGTGGTTCTATATTGCAATACCACTTTATTCTGCCATATAACCTAATGACTTTGCCGACTAATTTGTAGTCATCATACACTTAATTTTTTTTTTCCTTTCTCTTTTGATAAATACATTTAAATTGCTTTGTTGTCTGAGACTGTTCCTCATTTTCTTCCTTTTTAAGGCTTGTATGAAATGATTTGTTTTCTCTCCTATATGTTTTTATATTATGCTTACTCATTTTCTTTATAGTTCATTGGAGCTTCTATGGGAACATCAAATCTTAAGATTTCTTCCGACAACACTTCAAGCGATGCTCATAATTCCCTTCCCTCTCGAGCTTGTGGTGTTGTTGTTGAATACCTTCCCGGTGGAACACTAAAGAAATACTTAATTAGGAATTGGAGAAAGAAACTTGCCCTTGGGGTTGTGATTCAACTTGCTTTGGACCTTTCTAGAGGGTGAGGCTAGTTTCTCTTATGATTGGATTGAAATCCAAATGGAAATTTTGTTTACATATGTTTTGAATACTCTCTTTTTTTCTTTTTTACAGTTTGAGCTATCTTCACTCGAGCAGGACCCTCCTAGAGCCTTATTTTGTTGATTTAAAATAATTATGGTTTGTTAAATAGTGATGAAGTTCTGGTTTGGAAGATGCTCAGTGTGTTTGTTTTGGTTTCCCTCTTTCCCATAATGGCTGATTCTTTCTAAGTAATATTTTTGTAATTTCTTTCTTCATTCAGTTGCTATTAATCATGGAGAAATTGATGATTTTACTGTGGCACGAATGATTTTATCTGGAGAGTTAAATAGTGATGAAATTTGTGTTATCCTATAAGTATATTCATTGTCAAGATGTTTATAATATCTAACTGTTACTTAGTTGAGTAAATTATTTGATGGTAACAAGAAGGTACATGTTGCAAATTTAGTTAATAAGTGATTGGATTTAGTTATACATATGAGAAATATTAACATATAATATTAATGTAAATCAACTTAGTAGTTAAATTTTTATATTTTTTTTATAATTAAAATATCAACATATAATTATATTGTCATTAATTATTTTTATTTTTTGTTTTCAGATATTTTTGGAGTAGGAGTTTGCTTCTTGTGGAGTGCAGGCGTGTGAAGAATGTGACTAATTTTTGTTTTTGTTACCCATGGAATAATCATGAGGAAAACTTTTGTTGATTTACATTATTTTGAATTGTGAACAATATTATGTATTTAAACATTATATTTGTATTATGTAACATTATATAGTGGGGTAATTTTGTTGATGTGTTGTTATGAATGCAAGAATATTTTTATTATGGATGAATTGTTATTTTTATATTTGAATTTTTATATTATTATGTAATTATTGGTTTCTTTTTTAGTTATTTTTCATTTAATATAGGTAAATTTCATATTTTTAATAATTTTATTGTAGTGTTTTTTTTTTTTTTTGGGCGACGGCACCATGCCGTCTCAAAAAACATTAGAACCAAAAGTATTTCATTGAAACAAAAAACTTTTTGCGACGGCATTTTTTGCTGTCTCAAATAATCTTTAGCGACGGCATGTTTTGCTGTCTCAAATAATCTTTAGCGACAGCAGGTATCCCATCGCAATAAAAACCTTTTAGTGATGGCATTGTTTGCTGTCTCAAATAATACTTTTTGTGACGGTAAAATAGTGCCGTCGCAAAAAATCTCAAGTTTTTACATATTATTGGTGACACCAAAATTCCGTCGCAAAAGACAACTTTTGCCGTCACAAAAAAAAGGCGACGGCATGGTGCCGTCGCTAAAGGGTTTTAGCAACGCCCTTTGTTGTGACCCCCTATTTGCCGTCACTAAAAGTCAGTTGTCGTCACAAAAAAGTATTTGAGACGGCATTATGAGTATTTGCAACGGCAGTTTGCCGTCGCAAAAAGACAAATTTTTTGTAATGATCACAAGATAAGCCTCACCCATTAAAGTTTCTCTAGAGCTTACTCATTAGAGCTCTCAATCTTTTTTTTGAAGAAGAGCTTTCCTCAAATATTGAATTTGCGTTATGAAGTTATAAACCTTAGTTAATTTATGTCTAAGGTGTACATGTAACAGCTAAGGATGATATTTTTAACAAAGAAAAGACAAAAAAAAAAACTGGTAATAATGCTATACACTCTTTGGAGTGGGTATAGTTATTGGCCCCGTTTGGTATAGCTGTTAAAACAGTTTATAGATTATAGCTTAACAGATTATAAATTATAACTGTAATCAGAAGTTGTTAATTTGTTTGGTGTAGCTGTTGAATTATAGATTTAAGTTGCTGAGTAGTGTTTGTTAACTAAGCTATGAAATAGTTTTTTCAATTAATTTTTATTTTTTTGTTATTTACTACTTGTCTACATTTCTCATAAAAAATAATAATAATAATCTATAGTCCATTTGGGTCTTTTTCTATTTTTAAAAAAATAAAAAATAAAAAAATTTAATAGTATAACCATAAATTAACATGTTCACAGCAGAAACTGATAATCAGAAGTAAGGGGTGAGCAGCTTTTCAGAATCAACTTTTTTGAGTTAAATAAGCTGTTAGAATCAGAAGCTATTTGAAATAAGTTTAACCAAACAGTCCAAAATAACTTTTTCAAAGCTAAAAGTTATAAGTTAGCTTTGAAAATGTGAAACAAATACCCCCATTGTAGCATTGGTAATGCAAGTGGTATTAATTATTGTTGAATGGTTGATTATTAATTCATATAAAAACTTAATTGGTTAGGAAGTGAGTTTAGGGTTTTGTTAACATTAGATGTTTTGTCTGTTTGTATAATATGTGTTAAAGTGAGTCTAATAAAGAACATACTAATACTTTAGGCCTCGAGAGTTTCAGGCGTGAATGGAGCGAATTTGTGTTCACCGGTCGACCGGCCGGACAATCACCCAGACGATCGGGTGAAGCACTTGTCTACCGCGGTTGTCACCTTGTCGATCGCGGCTGTCAGCCTCTTTGCCAGATGACCGGCCGGACGACCGGTTAAACCAATTCATTGCAAATTCGCGCCTCAATATTTGAAGCCTGTAACACGGCTGAATATATAATACTTTTAAACTTCTTTATCATGTGCCCTTAAGACTAAGGGCACATGTTAACCAAACTCGTGAGTTTAATAACATTTAAGTTAATATTTTGTAATTAATAATTTATCATATTGTGTGAGTGATTTTCCGATCACACTGTCCAACTCAGTATTCAGCTGGAGAATACTGGCAGAATAGATGACACCTGGCTAAGCTGTAATAGAAAGAGAAGATTCCGGCGGTGGTTTCGACCACCCGGGGGCACTCCGACGATCAAGTCAGTATATCTCTCAAAGATAATCAATAATGCTAAACTCAATGCTCAAGGCACAAAATTGCGTACCTTAGACCCACGGGGGTGCCTCTCTTTTATAGTTACCTCAATCCTAATCCCACTAGAAGCCTGACTTCTATGGATTCTTATTCAGTACTTACTTTGGACTCCTCAAGAGATAAAGATAAACTCCCTAGGAGTTTTATCCTTATCTTGGCTAAGTCTCCTCTTTATTCTAGGACTCTTGTACCTTATCCGCTTTTTTGGGACTCCAATATCTTCGGAGATAACCTCGGCTTAACCGAGATCACCTCGGCGTCATGACCCTACCGCGTGGCACCTTGGCTGACACGTCGGCGTCATCTTGCCACGTGTCGGTACTCAAAAATATATCCCCACAACTACCCCCTAGGTTCTATTATCTCGGTATTCTGAGGTGATGGAACCTATATCATTCCGTTTTTCCAGTACGTCGGTTTATAGTATCTCAGCCGAGATCATTATTTTGGCTAACATGTCTTTGCTGAAGAACAAGAACTTCAAGAACCCTTTCACGCGTATGAGTTGTCATACACCATAATTCAACCGTTTTTAGCCACGCGTTTCTTTCTTACTGGTTCGTACTTGTGACGCGCCCGTAAGCCGTCTCTTTCTCACATGCGTCGTCTGACGCATACGTTCTTCCAGGCGTATTGATTACCTTTTGCCGCCGTTTTTATTTTTAACAAAACATCTCTTCAATTTTTCCCTTTCACCTTATCCTCATTTCTGGAAAACTTTTTCTCTCTCTAGCTTTTCTCATTTCTTCCATTGTTCCAGACCTCAAGCTCTGCAACTGCCCTCTTTCTTCTTCCTAGTGAAGCCTCCGCCGTCTTGTTACTTCTGTAACCATCGTCTGACTTCGGCGATCCTTACATCGGCTTTATTTTTTCTGGTAAGCAACTTGTTCCTTCTTATTTCAGTTCTTGATTATTTTTCTGGAACTTGTTGTTAGTACTGCTTTATTCGAATGTTCAATTTGTGAATCTGAATGCGTTTATTCCATGATTTGGCCCTTGCCCATATCTTGAACACACACACTGTTTCACCACTTCCCTATATTTTCGCCACTGATCTTGGCCCTATTCTTTTTGTATTCTTTATGCTCTTGATAGACCATCTATGTTCTTGATTCTGAAACTTCGTTCTTGCTTTCTTTTTTTTGTGTCTTTTCCAGATCTGTGCCTTTGATCTTCATCTCCTTAGTTTTAGGTTTAGGATTTGTTTGTAGAACCCACAATTTAGGGCAAAACTAAAACATCCCTTACAAATTTCTGTACCAGCTCAAACCTAGGTTTTTGATGTCTTTGCTGAAGAACAAGAACTTTAAGAACCCTTTCACGCGTATGAGCTGTCATACACCATAATTCAACCGTTTTTAGCCACGCATTTCTTTCTTACTGGTTCGTACTTGTGACGCGCCCGTAAGCCGTCTCTTTCTCACATGCGTCGTCTGACGCATACGTTCTTCCAGGCGTATTGATTACCTTTTGCCGCCTTTTTTATTTTTAACAAAACATCTCTTCAATTTTTCCCTTTCACCTTATTCTCGTTTCTGGAAAACCTTTTCTCTCTCTAGCTTTTCTCATTTCTTCCATTGTTCCAGACCTCAAGCTCTGCAACTGCCCTCTTTCTTCTTCCTAGTGAAGCCTCCGCCGTCTTGTTACTTCTGTAACCATCGTCTGACTTCGGCGATCCTTACACCGGCTTTATTTTTTCTGGTAAGCAACTTGTTCCTTCTTATTTCAGCTCTTGATTATTTTTCTGGAACTTGTTGTTAGTACTGCTTTATTCGAATGTTCAATTTGTGAATCTGAATGCGTTTATTCCATGATTTGGTCCTTGCCCATATCTTGAACATGCACAATTTCACCACTTCCCTGTATTTTTGCCATTGATCTTGGCCCTATATTTCTTGTATTCTTTATGCTCTTGATAGACCATCTCTGTTCTTGATTCTGAGACTCCGTTCTTGCTTTCTGTTTTTTGTGTCTTTTCCAGATCTGTGCCTTTGATCTTCATCTCCATAGTTTTAGGTTTGGGATTTGTTTGTAGAACCCACAATTTAGGGTAAAACTGAAACATCCCTTACAAATTTCTGTACCAGCTCAAACCTAGGTTTTTGCCGAGGTCTCAATAACCCTTTTTTGATACATCTTCTTTCTGAAATCCAATACTTTTAGTTATCCCGATATCATGGGTATGTGGAAACATCGGGTAGACACCCCTTCTAAGCTAGACTTTTTTAGGCAAGAGTTTGAAATCCCAGCCGATGTAAATCTGAGGTTGGCTGGGGATGATGACTCCATCATGCCTACTGATCACTCCATGCCCTTCCCTGTAGTTGCCTTTATTGAGTGTGGACTTCGGTTTCCACTTGACCCTTTTTTCCGTCAAATCCTTCACTTCTATAAGTTGAACCCAATACAACTCGCCATCAATTCTTACCGAGTTATTACTGGTACCATAGCCTTAGTCAAACAAAAGAATGCCAGGATTACGCTTGCCGATTTCTAGTACTGTTATACCATGTGTCGTCTTAGAAAAGACACGGACTATGTCTATTACCTTAAGCCGAGATCTACCGAATATAAAATCGTAGCCGACCTCTCAGACTCCAACAAGGGAGATGGAGACGATTACTTCATTGTCTCGGGCAATTGGGAGTTTCAGCCAAACGACGACCTCCATCTTTATCCCTTAAGCCGAACTATTTTGGGGGAAGGAGCTGGTAAGGGCCACCCTTCATAAGTTTCTTTTTATCCTCTTGCATAAAGTTTTCAATATTATTGTTCTAATGTCTATGCTGTTTTTATCTTTGCAGTTCTTCCTCAGCCTCCAAAGAATTTTC